TGTCACCCGGGCAAGTCCCTGCCCTTCCACAACCTTCATTCTTTGAAATGATACTTAGTCATCAGGTGGTAAGCATCCCCACTCTGCTCAGTCTAGGGGATGGGACAGAGCTGAGTGGAGACCACAGCCACCAGGAGTTCCCTGTGCTGTGATGGGGGAGCCAGGCAGAAGCAGTGACCCAGGGCAGGTATCCTGGAGGGAGGGGGTACAATTCAAGCTGAGAGGAAACAGGTGGAGAGGAGGGCCTCCTGGTAAGAAAGTGTTCTCAGTGTCCGAGCTCTCCCCCAATCTGTTCCCAATGCAGATCCCAGGCCCACCAAATGGGAGTGCCCGAGGAGTGGGACCCCAGATTCTGGATTTTAAAACAGACCTTTCCCAGGCCCAACTTGCCCCCATCCCCAAAGCCAGACAGGGTTAGGAATGGCACTGGGGAGGGGACCATCTCCCAGGCTGGAGGATCTGGGGGACTAACAACTTTCTCCTCCCCCTTGAGCTGGGGCAGCCGGACCTATGATCGCCATGGGAGCCCAAGGCAACAGGGCCAGGATGCCAGGCCAAGTCTGCTCCTTGCTGGAAGCAGGAAGTAGGGTCTTCAGTGACCCCCTATGCTGGGATGGAGAGGCTGCCGGAGGCAGCAGCGGGCGTTGGAAGAAAAGCGGCTCCCTCCTTCAAACTCAGGTCAGCTCTGGCCAGGGAGGAGCTGCTACCTTCTCGTTATTTTCTAGGTGAGGTGGCCTCTCCCTGTCCCTCCTCCTCCTAGGCCACCCAAGCCCCTAACCCAGTGCTGAGAGGGACCCAGGCCTGGTTTCAAATCCTAAGATATCACCGAAACCGGTTTGGCTCAGTGGATACAGAGTCGGCCTGCAGACTGGGGGGTCCAGGGTTCGATTCTGGTCAAGGGCATGTGCATTGGTTGGGGGCATGCCCCTAGTTGGGGGAGGGGTGCAGGAGGCAACTGTTTCTCTCTCATCAAAGTTTCTCTCTCATCAATGTTTCTGGCTTTCTATCCCTCTCCCTTCCTCTCTATGAAAAATCAATAGAATATATATATTTTTTAAAAATCCTAAGATATCCCCTTGCCAGCTGGGTGATGTCAGGTAAGGCTTGAGCCACCTTGAGCCTCTGTTTCCTCATCTGTAATGCTGTGAGGGGATGATTCAGAACAGGAGTTGAGCACCGGGCCTGGCAGGGTCTCTATCTAGTGAGTCAGCTATTTTAGGACTCGCTTCAGGAGATGGTGGCATTCTTCAGATTAGCACACTGGCTTCTGCTGTGGGGCCTTTGCACTTGATCTTTTCCTTGCCTGGGAAGCTTGGGTTCACTTAGCAAACCCCCTCTCTTCCTTTGGTCTCACTTAAAGCAGCTTCATGCCGGCTGTTTCCCCGTTGCACGCCTCCCTGCCCGCTTCTGCCGACCTCCCCAAGACACCACCTACTTGACTTCGGCACATGTGTAGTGGTTGGCTCCGGAATCGCTTCCTGAAGGTTAGGTATTTTTTTAATGTATCCAACTTTACTGATCTGAGAGAAATATCAATTTGTTGTTCCACTTATTTACTTCATTGGTTTTGTTTTAAAGATATTTTTATTGGTTTCAGAGAGGGAGGGAAAAGAACGATAGAAACATCAGTGATGAGAAAATCATTGATTGGCTGCCTCCTGCCCGCCCCACACTGGGGATCAAGCCCAAAACCTAGGCATGTGCCCTGACCTGGAACTGAACCCACAACCTTGGCATATCAGGAATGATGCTCTGACCAAGTGAGTTACCTGGCAGGGCCAGAGCTAGTTTTTTAAAAGAAATTTTTCAGTTAATTGTCACCTGAGGATATTTTCCCACTGATTTTTAGAGAAGGGAGAGAGTGTAGACAGAAGAGAAACATCAATGAGAGAGACACATCAATTGGTTGCCTCCCACACATGGCCCCAGGCCAGGGATCGAGCTTGCAACCAAGGTACATGAAGTTCTATCCACTGTGCCAAAACCGGCTAGGTTTTTAGTGCTGTTCATTGCTGTGCTCCAGTGCCTAGGACAGTGCCTGGCACACAGTAGGTACTTGACAGAATGTGAAGGAAAAAAAAGAAAATATATATAATTTTTTTAAGATCTAAAGCAAATATGACAAAATGTTAATGCGGGTGCTTCTGTGGCTTATTTTAAGTATTTCTCAGTGTGTTTGAAATATTTAATTAAAAAAATAACAATCCGCCTAACTGGTTTGTCTCAGTAGATAGAGTGTCGGCTTGCGGACTAAAAGGTCCCAGGTTCGGCCAGGACCGGTTTGGCTCAATGGATAGAGCGTCGGCTTGGGGACTGAAGGGTCCCGGGTTCGATTCCGGTCAAGGGCATGTACCTTGGTTGCGGGCATATCCCCGGTAGGGGGTGTGCAAGAGGCAGCTGATCGATGACTCTCTCATCGATGTTTCTAACTCTCTCTTTCCCTTCCTCTCTGTATAAAATCAATAAAATATATTTAAAAATAAATAAATAAATAAAAGGTCCCAGGTTCGATTCCGGTCAAGGGCATGTACCTTGGTTGCGGGCACATCCCCTTGGGGGGGGAGGGGCGTGCAGGAGGCAGCTGACGGATGTTTCTCTCTCACTGATGTTTCTAATTCTCTATCCCTCGCCCTTCCTCTCTGTAAAAAAATCAATAAAACATATTTTAAAAAAAGTAACAATCCACACTATTTAGGAAGCGAGTCCAGAGGAGGTGATGGCTGATAGGGGTTGGGGGAGGGGGCAGGGAGGTAAATAGGGTGGCCCTGAGACAGACTGGCGTGCACTGACGGTGTCCTCAGATAAATGCTCTATCTGTGGAGGTAGACGTGAGGATAATCCCACTTTACGGACTGTAAACGGAAGCTCAAGGCAGAGAATGACTAGACCTGTGGGGCAGAAGGGGAAAAGGGTGCCAAAGGGAGAAGCCCCAGATGGAGGCAGAGAAGGGGCAGCAAGGAAGTGGAAGGAAAACCAGGAGAGCGTGGTTGAGGGAAGAGGACCAGCCTTCCAGGAGCTGGCCCAAATCCCAGCTGAAGCCACAACCCTCCTCTGGTGCCAAATCACACAGACAACTTCTACTTGGTGGCTCCCCCAGGGGTCTGGCAGGCCGGAGAATTCCCGGAATGGGATCTGGGTTGGAAGGAAATGAGGAGGAAAAACAAGCAGGATGGAGGGACTGACGGGGAGACCACTGGGGAGCCTGAGCCAGGGGGAAAGTTGAGCCCCCTCCTGGGTGGTATGCAAAACGAAGGTGGCTCCAAGGGCGCTCTTTAGGGCACTGGTAGGGGAGGTGGCAGTGGATCTTGAGCCCTCAGTCAACAGAGGGTGAACAGTGTGTTGAGCATCAGTGAAAGAAAAGCCAAACAGGACAAAACCGGTTTGGCTGTGGATAGAGCATCGGTCTGCGGACTGAAAGGTCCCAGGTTCAATTCCGGTCAAGGGCATGTACCTTGGTTGCGGGCAGATCCCCAGTGGGGGGTGTGCAGGAGGCAGCTGATCGATGTTTCTAACTCTGTCCCTCTCCCTTCCTCTCTGTAAAAAATCAATAAAATATATTTAAAAAAAGAAAAAAGAGAAGTCAAAACAGACTGGGGGAAGAGTGTTAGGCAGACCCAGCCTGTCCTTATTTTATATAAGGAAGGAAACAAGAGAAAAGTGACCTGCCTAGCCTGTGTGGCTCAGTGGTTGAGCATAGAGCATGCAACCAGGAGGTCAGAGTTCAATTCCAGGTCAGGGCACATACCCTGGTTGCAGGCTCAATTCCCAGTTGGGGGTGTGCAAGCAGCAGCTGATCAATGATTCTCTCTCATCATTGATGTTTCCATCTCTTCCTTCTTCTCTCAACTCAATAAAAATGTATTTTTTTAATTGAGAGAGAAAAGTGACCTTGGGCAGGTCACATGGGGGATAAATAATAATGGTCTTTGGACCTCCAGCCAGTGTGCCTCTCTGGGTGCAGGGCTCTCAGCCCTGACACTTGGTGTGCTTTTCTCAGCTCATGCTGGGCCACAGGTCTTTGAAGGGAGTTGCAGGTTTGAGGCTCCAGGGCTGAGCAGGTGAGCATTGTCACGGGCCTGTTGGAAGGGAGAGTTCTGTGCTTCATTCCTCTCTGTGGCCCCAAGTTCCTGTTTCTTTCTGGGCCTCGATTTACTCATCTGCAAATGGGGGTAAATATTAATTGCTACTATTTAACAACACTGAGCACTTAGTCTGTGCCAAGGACCATAGTCATTCCTTTAATCCTATTCTCACTTTACAAAGGAAGAACCAAGGTCAGAGGAATTAAGTAATTTACCTCAAATCACATAGCTAGTACATGGTAGAGTCAAAATATGAGCCCAGGTCCCGAAGTAAGGCCTCAGAATTAAGTAAGACCATTTGGAAAGGGCCTCACTAAATTCTTGCCCCTGGGTCTCAGTTCCCCATCCAAAGCAAAGGACAGCTGCCCCTGCCCCACTCTGAAGCACCATCACTTGGACTTTGCTGCCCCACTGTGGGTACAGGGAAGAACTGCACCAATGAGCACCCTAAAACCTAACTGGAGGACCCCAGTCCCCACAATGCCCAATAATGGCTCCAAAAGCTAACCGTGTAATTTTAATAATTTTTGCAAGTCAGTTGTTAAGGCCATTATTAAAAATTAAATTATATAAAATTAAAACTAAATTATATTAAAAGCAAAGGTGATGTTCAAAACTAGGCACTTCCTCATTTCACTGTATTTTGCTATTGTCTGTGCTTTTTTAAAAAAGATATTCACCCTCGGATATATTTTTATTGATTTTAGAAAGAGGAAGGGAGGGAGTGAAAGACATCCATCAGTTGCCTTCCATATGTGCCCCGACCAGGGATCAAATCTGCAGCCTAGGTATATGCCCGACTGGGAATCAAACTCACAACCTTCTTGTGGATAGGACGCTTCAACACTGAGCCCCCTGGATGGGCTAATGTAACTCTTGAGTAGCCAGATTTAAAACAGTAACAGGAGACAGCTGAAATTAATTTAAATAGTATATTTTATTTAACCTGGTATGTCCAAAATACTATTTCAACATGTAATCAATATAAAGTAACTAAGGATATCTTTTACATTTTTTTTTTTTCATTACTAACTCTTCAAATTCTGGTGTTTATTTTACACTTAAAGCACATCTGAGTTCAAACTAGCCACATCTCAAGTGTTCCAACAGGCAAATTATCCAATGGCTGCCACAGTGGACAGCACAGGTCTAGACTGAAGAAACAGGTGGAATCTGGCTGGGCTGGTTCAGACGGCTGGAGGCTCATCCCAAACACCAAAAGGTGGCTGGTTTGGTTTCCAGTCAGGGAACATGCCCAGGTTTCGGGTTGGATACCCAGTTGGGGCCCATGCAGGAGGCAACCAATTGATGTTTCTCTCTCTCCTTTCCTCTAAAATCATTTTTAAAAAATTTTAATAGGTGGAAAAATATTAATGATGTAGTTTAAATTTAAAAGTAGTGCTAAAGCTGAGAAATTTTAATCCAATTAACAATTTGCTCAACGATGAGAAATCTGTATGTCGCGCATCAAATTTAATGACAATAAATTAACTGCTGCCTACCAGTGTGGCTCAGCTGGTGGCAGTGTCGTTCCATATACTGAAATGTTGAGAGTTTGATTACTAGTCAAGGCACATACCCAGGTTGTGGGTTTGATCCCAGTTGGGGCATGTAAAGGAGGCAACAAATCAATATTTCACTCTCACATTGATGTTTCTTTCTCCCTCTCTCCAAAACCAATAACAGCGTGTCTACACTGCTCTTGTACCAGATTCTCTTTTTAATCCTTACTGGATTAAAAAGAGAATCTGGTACAAGAGCAGTGTAGTAGGCTTAACAGTGGCCCCCCCAAAATATCAGGTCCTGCCCTAGCCGGCTTGGCTCAGTAGACAGAGCATCAGCCTGGGGACTGAAGGGCCCCCAGGTTGACTCTCGCCAAGGGCACATGCCTGGGTAGCGGGCTCCATCTCCAGTGGAGAGCATGCAGGAGGCAGCCAATCAATGATTCTCTCTCATCATTGACCTCTCTCTGTCTCTCTCTCTCTCTCTCTCTCCTCCCTTACTCTCTGAAATCAATAAAATTATCAGGTCCTAATAATCCCTGGAACTTGTACATGTTTTTATATTTTACATTTTTTTAACTGTGCAGATGTGATTGAAGATCTTTACATGGGAGATTATTTTTGGTTATCCAGCTGGGCCCTAAATCCAATCATACAAGTGTCCTAAGAAGATGGAGGCAAAGGGAGATTTGATAAACACAGAAGAGAAGTCCAGGAATTTCAATACCCATTAGAAGCTATTAGAGGTAAGGACTAGAGGCTCCAAAAGAAGCATGGTCCTGACAACACCCCAGTAATAGCAATTTTGGGTGTCTGGTCACCAGAACCATGAGAAAATAAATTTCTGTTGTTTTTGGTAATTTGTTACTACAGCCACAGAAAACTAATACAAGTAGATGGGATGGAACTCCATTTGCCATATTGTGATTGAATTAGTACCACAGGTAGGCTATAAATGTAAGAATTCAGGGGGGAAAATCAACAAAATCATTCTGTGAGAAACTGGTTACAGAGAATTTATGATAAAGAATATTGTATATTTTATTTGTACTTTATGTGCTATACATCTTTTATATCAGTACAATTTATAATAACATGTGTGTATATGACACATACCAGGTCTGTCCTGTATCCTCAACACCCAGCACAGAGCTTGGTACACAATAGGACACTCAAATATTTCTTGAATGAATGAATATGACTTTGGACCTCAGTTTCCCCCACCATACAACAGGGCTGGAGGAATGAGATGGGCTCCCCAGGTGGGCAGTACTGGTGCCAGATGTTGTTAAGAGTACCTACTGTGTACAAGACTGGGCTGGGGCAGACTGATGGACACAGCAGCTGGCCCAAACAGCTGTGCCCCAGAAAATGGCTGGGAACAGTCAGATTCAAGGAGTCAGGCATGGGATCTCACATTCCCTTAGGCCTCTGCAGGCTTGGGGACTGCTCAAGGGATTATCACAGTCCAAGAGATGGGGTGCCAAGTAGCCTCTGTACAGGCACAGAGAGTAGTAATGCCAAAGACACAGCAGGATCTGCTAAGGCGGGACCCTCTTTCTCTATGTTCTGTCCCTCAATACTGCAGGGCAAAGGGCCTCTTTCACCCAGGGACTGGGAAGAACCAGGGTCTGGCTTTGTCACAGCTACAGAAGAGAGCCCTCTCAGTTCCCAGCGTTCCATGTGAGGCCCCATTCCATGCTCCTCATCAGGGGCCCAGGCATAGAGGGTGGTGCGCACCTCTACATGTATATTTACATCACCCTGGCAAGTCACTCTCCCTCCAGCTCCAATGTCCCCTCTCCGGGAATCCAGGGCCCAGTCTGCAGCCAGTGGCTGACCCCTGTAGGCCAAACTAGCCAGATCTGTTACCTATTTGCAGGAATGACCCCTGGCTGAACAACTGTTCCATCTGGACTTCCCTCTGTTAAATGGGAAGTGGCTTACCAAGTTTCCACAGCAAGAATTTGGCCAAGCAGACTGGCTCTGGGCACTGGAAGCAAATGAAGGAGATTCTAGGCCAAAGCCCCTAACCAGAACCTGGGAGCCAGGTCTGAGATCTGGAGGTACTAAACCCTCCGGGCCCCAATCCCACTCCATCCCAAAATGTCTGCCTGTGTCCATATACCACAACTCTACTGGTATGAATTTTGAAAGCAAGGACCAGGATAGTTTTGCTCACTATTGGGGCCACAGTGTGGGATTGCCCAGAATATAAGAACTCAATAATTTGTTTAAAGAGCAAAACCACTTGTGTGTCTTCTACAAAGACCAGGCTCTCCCCACTGCTTTTGCTCATGCTATCCTTCCTTCACTAACACACATCCTCTCTGGTCTCCCCTAGGAAGAAGAGCTTCCAGAACTCGGCAGGGTAGATCTTGGCTCCTGGGAGTGGGAGAAAAATCAGAAGTCCAGTCCACCTTCAGCCCGCGGCCCTGTGTCAGTGATTGGTCGTCTCCTCTGGAGCCCTAGTGGACAATAAACTCTGCTCACTACCAACCCCCATTCAGAGTTTAGAGAGAAAATAAAGGGATGAAGGAAGCACCAAAGGCAAGCCCTCTTATGATAGCATCAGACACCTGTTTCAAAATATATTAGATTTGGTTTTTATTGTTGAGCACACATATCAGGGCAAAGTGCTGCACACGCAACTACAAATCATTGAGGGGGGAGAGGAGCTGTAAAAAAAAAAAAAAAATGCAACTGCCTTCGTTATGCAGCTCCAACTTGAGGATCCATGCTGGCAAAGGAGTTCTGGCCCTGAGAAGGGCTTCCTAATGGTGGCTGCCCCAGCTCTCTGCAGCCCCAGGCCTAGGACTCTATAAAACAAGGTCTTCCCCACGGTGGTGGCAACGTGGGGAATCTGCTCAGGCCTAGCAAGGAGACATTTCTAATAAATCTAGACCAGCAAAACCGCACAGCCCTCGAGAATCGGAGGAGTGGGAACTGCCAAAGACTATTTTTTCCCTTTTATTACTATTTTTTAAAAGCCCCTTCCCCAGCTCCCATGCCCCGAGGTGGAAGAGCCACTAACCCAGTCTGCAGACCTGGGCTCTGGCCTTGGATGTGTGCTGCAGGCAGGCACCTTTCTATGGGGGTGACATGGGGAGAAGGCCCAAACTGCCCAATGTAAAAGAAAGGAAAGGAAAAGGAAAAGAACAAGACCAAAGGAAAAAAAAAAAAATCTAAACAAAATTCCTGCTACACATAATAGTTTTCCATACCCCATTTAGAAGCAATTTCTAAAACTGTCCCAACATGGCCAGTCTAACTGTTCCGTACAATCACACGCATATGCCTGGAAGGAGCAACCCAGCAGAGGCGTGCTCTTGGCAAGAGGTCAGGACCGCTGCAGCCAGGAACCTGTAGGCAAAGCAGGCCAGTGGGCATGGAGGAAGCCCTGGGCTTGCCAATAGCTCTGGGGTGCAGGGCTGGCACTATTGAAGCCCCTGCTCAGTCATCTTGAATGTTTCTGCAGCAAGAGGAAGAGGGTGTTGTGTGACTTTCCAGAGCCTGGAGAGCAGGTGACAGGTAGAAGGACAGCAAGGCCCAGGAGACCTCAGCCCAGCTTAGACATTGGGGGGGGGGGGGGGGGGGGCGAGGAGGAACAACTTCATTCACAACACTGAGAAAATTTACATATAGAGCAAAACAAGAATTTTCTTAACCAAAACATTTTGCTTTTAAATAAAACCAGCCTGACACAGCCCCACTTGACGATGGTTGCCCCGTGTTCCTCTACTAGCCACTCCAGAGTGAGCTGTCAGCCTTTTCATCCAAGAGGAAAACCAAGACCAAATTCTGTTCTTTAGCCTCAATAGGCAATAAACCAAGGAAAAATAAAAGGGTCTAAACAAACAACAACAAAAACACACAGAAACAAAACCCCTCAAAACGCAACAAAAATGGGCGGCTATGTGAGGATTAACCAGAGTTCCCGAGAGGCTGCAGGGGCCTCAGTGCCTCCGCATCTTCACCTTTCGGGTGGGGCTGCCCGCGGCCTCTGAGCAGTCCTCCGACTCATAGGACTTGCGCCAGTAGTTCTCAGAGCTGAAGCTCCCCCTCCGCCGGTGTGTGGGCAGCAGCACTGAGCGTCGGTTCTCTTCCTTGTCCATCTCCAGGATCCTAGGCCTGCAAGGGTCAGGGTGGGAACGGTTACAAAGAGGCTGGCATGGCAGCAGGACCTCCCACCTCTGCACCTAGCTCTGACCCTCACTGGCAGGATGACTCACCCCCACTCTCCCAGAGGGCTATACTGGCAGAAGCAATGGCATTGTTGTTCCTGCCCACGAAGTGTCTCCTATTCGTTGAGACACTTCCTAAGTACCCTGTGTGGTCTGCACAGCTCTGAGTCTGGTGCACGAGGACACTGCCAAGGCTGCCGAATAGAAAAAGGCCTTCCCTATTATAGCCCAACACCCTGCACAGTCCTGCCATCTCTCTTTACTTCTCAACCTCCCATCTACTCCTCCTTTCTCTCTGCCCACTACACCCAATAGCCCCTGAAACCACCAAGTTCTTCCTGCCCCAGTGTTTCAGCCCATGAGTATCTCCTGCCTACAATGCCCTGCCCACGTCTTCCTCATCTGTCTGGTCTTAGCTTACACAGTACTTCCTCACGAACCGTCCCCACTCCCTCTGAAATGGGGCCCTGGCCCGCTAGCTTCTGAGTCCCAAGCTTTCCTCCTACCATTTAAGTATAAGCCACAAGAGCGCTTGTCTGGGTGGACTGGAAAAGGGCAATCACGGGCAGGCCATGAAGCATTCCCACTTGTCAGAGTCTTGGCCTAACCTCTTCTTTATGAGGATACAGGCAATCAGGGCTTAAGTGTGAATGGCACCAATGCCACCAGCCCAGGGGAGCTAGACATAAAGCTTGAGAAATGTGGGCCATGCCAAGCTCCTAGCCACCTATCCCAGACGCTTCTCTATCCATCTCACCCTGAAGGGAGGCCATGGGGCTGCTTTGCTAGCCTTATTAAGGGTCCTAAGCCAAGTACCTGTGAGCAGCGTCGGGGTCTGCCTTGCGGTGAGACCGCTTGGGTTTCAGAGCAGGGTCCCTGTTGTTCCCTGACAGGCGATCTGAAGCATAGCTGGGCGGTAACACAGAGCTGCTCAGGGACTTGGTCTCCAACCGGGGCGCGTCTAATCTAGTCCTGCAAAAGAAACAGGCATGGGGTCACCAGGGGGCCTCGGGTGGGGGTGTGGATCCCAGCAGACCAATTCTTTCTCCCAAGTGGGGAGGCCGGAAGCTCGGCTCTGTGCCTCAGTCTCTTGTAGTGCAACTAAGGCAGTGGTTGACAAACCTAGGCTCTCAAGCCACATGCGGCTCTTTGGCCCCTTGAGTGTTCTAACACCACTTCTTCCAAATAGACTCATCCAGGCTGAAAGCCGACTTCTGCAAATTGGCCACGAAGTTTCAATTGCACT